CTTTGAGAGAGACAGAGAAAAATCATCAATTTTAAATAACATAAAATTTTTTTATTAAAATACAGGATGCTTGGCAAATAAATGAAATATATTCATATAAATAACTTTCACTCTTGTGTCTCTAAATTGTACCTCTAAGGCACAAGTAGTAAATAGCACAATGTTCAAAAAGAGAGTGTCTATCCATGCAGGAACATTAAGTGCATAATCAGACAAGCAATGTTCTAGCAATAAGTACGCAAGAAAGCAAAGCAAGGTTTGCTGAGACTTTTCTTAGCCAAAGAGATGAACATCGAAACAGTTTTTAAATGTACTTGCCCATCCTTAAATTTTTCCAATCTTTTAGACAGTGTACTCTCACATAAAAAAAAAAAAATACATGTAGATGAGTTCTGCAAGTTCTCTTGCCACCGTATCCTCTTTCAGCAATCTTCCTCTCTGTACGTTGGTCACTGGTGGAGTTCCTGTTTATGTTCTCTTCTTCTTTGGAACTGGTCTTGATTGCCATCTCTAGACAAATGCTTTCCTCCCTCTCTGGGCTTTGTCCATGACTGCTGAGTTTATTGACAGTTTATCGGCTCCCTATTAGCTATTTAATTGTTCGGATTGATTAAATTACTGCCAATAAAGGCCTATTGAGAGCCAAAAATTATAGGTTTCAATTTTAAAACCAGTAGTTGTAATTTACATAAAAATATCTGTTTCTGTGATTCAATTCCATTTATGCGGTGCATGATCTGACTCATTGAAGGTGACAGCTAAATGTCTTTGATAATTGCTTCCTCTGACTATTTGATTAAATAGTTATTAGATAGGTCTTTGGGGGTCAATATGACCTCTACATTAGTATAATTGGGTGCTTAGGGGGGACCGGTTCCAAAGGCTGCTAACTGTTTAATAGACATGCCCCTACCAGTGACATTGCAAGTCGGGGACTGCCTACTAAATATCAGGGTCGTATTAACCCCTATAGATTTTTTTTGAGTTTATTTTTTTAATGCTTAGTCGTAAAATAAAGGAAGTTAAATGTAATTCTGATGCACATTTATCTGAGGTTTTATCTTAAGTTGCCGACCTGTTTAGTGGGTTCAGCTGCTTGAATTTTGGCTGGCTGAAATGAAAAAAAAAACATATATATATTGATTGAAAACAGTTGATAATTATTGACTACAGGGAGTGCAGAATTATTAGGCAAGTTTTATTTTTGAGGATTAATTTTATTATTGAACAACAACCATGTTCTCAATGAACCCAAAAAACTCATTAATATCAAAGCTGAATATTTTTGGAAGTAGTTTTTAGTTTGTTTTTAGTTTTAGCTATGTTAGGGGGATATCTGTGTGTGCAGGTGACTATTACTGTGCATAATTATTAGGCAACTTAACAAAAAACAAATATATACCCATTTCAATTATTTATTATTACCAGTGAAACCAATATAACATCTCAACATTCACAAATATACATTTCTGACATTCAAAAACAAAACAAAAACAAATCAGTGACCAATATAGCCACCTTTCTTTGCAAGGACACTCAAAAGCCTGCCATCCATGGATTCTGTCAGTGTTTTGATCTGTTCACCATCAACATTGCGTGCAGCAGCAACCACAGCCTCCCAGACACTGTTCAGAGAGGTGTACTGTTTTCCCTCCTTGTAAATCTCACATTTGATGATGGACCACAGGTTCTCAATGGGGTTCAGATCAGGTGAACAAGGAGGCCATGTCATTAGATTTTCTTCTTTTATACCCTTTCTTGCCAGCCACGCTGTGGAGTACTTGGACGCGTGTGATGGAGCATTGTCCTGCATGAAAATCATGTTTTTCTTGAAGGATGCAGACTTCTTCCTGTACCACTGCTTGAAGAAGGTGTCTTCCAGGAACTGGCAGTAGGACTGGGAGTTGAGCTTGACTCCATCCTCAACCCGAAAAGGCCCCACAAGCTCATCTTTGATGATACCAGCCCAAACCAGTACTCCACCTCCACCTTGCTGGCGTCTGAGTCGGACTGGAGCTCTCTGCCCTTTACCAATCCAGCCACGGGCCCATCCATCTGGCCCATCAAGACTCACTCTCATTTCATCAGTCCATAAAACCTTAGAAAAATCAGTCTTGAGATATTTCTTGGCCCAGTCTTGACGTTTCAGCTTGTGTGTCTTGTTCAGTGGTGGTCGTCTTTCAGCCTTTCTTACCTTGGCCATGTCTCTGAGTATTGCACACCTTGTGCTTTTGGGCACTCCAGTGATGTTGCAGCTCTGAAATATGGCCAAACTGGTGGCAAGTGGCATCGTGGCAGCTGCACGCTTGACTTTTCTCAGTTCATGGGCAGTTATTTTGCGCCTTGGTTTTTCCACACGCTTCTTGCGACCCTGTTGACTATTTTGAATGAAACGCTTGATTGTTCGATGATCACGCTTCAGAAGCTTTGCAATTTTAAGAGTGCTGCATCCCTCTGCAAGATATCTCACTATTTTTGACTTTTCTGAGCCTGTCAAGTCCTTCTTTTGACCCATTTTGCCAAAGGAAAGGAAGTTGCCTAATAATTATGCACACCTGATATAGGGTGTTGATGTCATTAGACCACACCCCTTCTCATTACAGAGATGCACATCACCTAATATGCTTAATTGGTAGTAGGCTTTCGAGCCTATACAGCTTGGAGTAAGACAACATGCATAAAGAGGATGATGTGGTCAAAATACTCATTTGCCTAATAATTCTGCACTCCCTGTATTTTGCCTATATAATTAAATTGAGACCCATCGGTAAATAGAAGTAGCAAGTAGCATTATTAAAAACAGCTGATATTTAGTGTTTTTCACCATCTGGCCATGCAAAGAGTCACAAATTAGCCACTTACTAGGAAAGCACAGACACACTGTGTACGTTGTCAGCATAACAATCACACATTACCTGTAAAAAAAGACCCACCTGGAGTATGAGTATTCACCTATATTTGGCTGTAGCAGGAGATAGTGACAATGTATACAGCAGTGGCATCTGGTAACTCCATGGCATTACTTTTCAAATGTTGTTCTCAGTAAACAGCCGATATTTGTTGTCAGTAGCAACAGGTACTTTAACGAGTATATTATGGCTAATAAAAAGTAGCGAGAAGATTTGAAACAAAATGATAGTTGGGCTTAACCATTATTATTTTATCAACAATTTATTAGTTTTATAAGAAACCTGTACAATCACTTACAATCACTTGTTGTAAACTGACTTCTGAGTGTGCACTGTATTTAGTGTAATTATTTTACTGCTATAAATGCAGGATTTGCTGGGAAAATTAAAGGTGTAACCATGTAAAATTACTATTTTCAGCTGTAAGCATGGGAAAAACAATTAAAGGACCACTATAGTGCCTGGAAAACAAACTTGTTTTAATGGCTCTATAGGGTCTTTAGGTCCCCCCCACCCTCAGGGTCCCACTCCCGCTGGGCTGAAGGGGGAGGAAGGGCTTAAACGCTTACCTTTCTCCAGCGCCATGCTCCCTTGGCATTGGGGACTCTCCTCCCTCTACCGATGTCAACCGCCGAATGCGCATGCGCGGCAAGAGCCGCACGGGCATTCAATCAGTCCTTAGGAAAGCATTTATCAATGCTTTAATATGGATGTCAGCATCTTCTCACTGTGATTTTCACAGTGAGAAGCGCGGAAGCGCCTCTAGCGGCTGTTAATGAGACAGGCACTAGAGGCTGGATTAACCCTATTGTAAACATAGCAGTTTCTCTGAAACTGCTATGTTTACAGCTGCAGGGTTAACCCTAGATGGACCTGGCACCTAGACCACTTCATTGAGCTGAAGTGGTCTGGGTGCCTATAGTGGTCCTTTAAACAAATATGTGCATGCTTGAAGATGAGATGGGAGTCACTTATCTGGCTGCTATACATTATATTTCTCTGTATCCCCCTTGCCCATGGGATGGAGGTGAAAAGCTCTGGTTATAGTGCTCCTAATGGCCATAAGATTTTTTATTATTCAGTAAACATGTAATTGTAGAGATAACCAGATGGCTCTCTCCTTGTAAGGGAGGCATTTGGCTCTTTAATAATATGCTCAGAAACATTTTTATATTTGTCAAGTAAATACTGTAGATTTTTTTATGTAACTTTGCTGCAATGCCTGAATTATAAACTATTGGGCTTTAGTAATTTGAGCTGGGAATTATAGTTAATTGAAAAACAAATTTCATAATTTAGGTTAACATTAGGCTGAATCAAATAAAATGTATTTCCATAAATATTACAATACAGTTTTCATTACACTTTAGTGAATAAACTCCATTGTGGGTGTATAATGCCTGGCTACTTTTCAGCTTGAGAGGAAACCTTTTTCAGTGTGCTCAATGCACTTCCTCACTACCTTGCTCTCTGTCTGTCAGAACACAGCTGTAAAGTTTAACTTACAAAGGTTGTTCTAATACTGAGAAAAGGAAGTTGGCCTACTATTCACAGTCCTTCTGTAGAAATGCTGTGGAACATATGAAACCATTGACTCTATCACTGCAGCCTTTTATTTCAAAGCTCATTATCTTTTTCAAAAAAGCAACTTTATTTGGAGCATGTAGCTCCACTCCTCTGGCTGTGAATCACATGGATGGATGGCTGATATTCATGATTAGGACAATCACTTTTGTCCACCTCCCAAACTTAAATGACTATTAAATGGCCCTGTCATATTACATCAACTTAAACATAATTTAACAAATTACTTCACTACTAATAATACCACTGATGTATCTTCCATCATGTCTTTGGAAGCCCATAAGGCCTTCATAAGCGGATATCTTATTCAACTATGCTCACAATCCAAAACAACAAGAACTTGTAGCCACATTATCTGCCACGATCAGAGACTTGGAATCCAAGCATAAATCCATGCATTCTTTGGCGTTAAAAAAAAAAAGAAAGAAAATAAAAAATAAAAAATAAATAAGGTTTCACCTTTAACAAAATCTTTCAATGACATGCATTAAACTTTTTGTATCCATTTTTTCAGTCGATTAAGTGCTGATCAGTTGTATAGTATATATATATATATATATACATACATATATATATATATATATATATATATATATATATATATATATATATACTATACAACTGATCAGCACTTAATCGACTGAAAAAAATATATAAAATGGCACTCACCCTTTCAGAGGATACAAAGCCAGCATATGCCCTGGTGCAATCCCATACGGAATATATACAATTAATAGATGAAGGAAATGCACTCTTCAGTCTTTATACAAAAAATCTGTTGTATTTAATGAAAAAGATCTGGAAACGTCGATCGGATATATGTAAACCTTTTTTTCATTAAATACCACTGATTTTTTGTATAAAGACCGAAGAGTGCATTTTCTTCATCTATTTACTATATATATATATATATATAAACCTTTACTGTTGGTTCAGCCATCACTATGGACTGCAGTTACCAAAGGGTTACTTGACTTACTTGCATACTTTGCCTGCGCCCCCCTACCTTACAATAAAATGTGAGCTATTCTGATAAAGGAAAAACTTGCTTTAATTTATCCAGCATGCTTGGAGTTATTTGCTGTATTTACCAATTGTCTGATCCCATCAAAGTGAAATATGTTCCTTCATAATAAAAGCTTGTAAAAATTTAAGTCCTTGCATACAATAATATTGTCTGCTATTGGATTTTGAAGAAAAAGTAAATATTGGTCTTTTAAATGGTATCTAAATTATGATGTAGCAAGCAACAGCATTTAAAAGACAAAATATCAAAAGAAAACTCAGGATATAACATGCTAGTGTTTGTTTTCCAAATCTTACTAAATACATGTCAGACATGTTCAAAGAGTTAAAAGACCTATAGAGTTCCACCTGCAAGTCTAGCTGCAAAAGGCAAAATACTTTGTTTGCAAACAGAAAATCAACCGGCAACTTAAGCAGATGATCCCTCGCTTTCGAAAGAAAAAAAAAAAAGAGGAAAAAAAACCTAAAATAGAATAAAATCCTTATATGTAAACAGATTTAGGATTGATTTATGAGACAAATTGGATGAACAATCCATGCAATAAAATCTCAAATGGGAGCTTTATTTTCAAAGCGAAGAAAAGCTTTGGTACTAATTTCTGAAAGAGGAACAGCATATTAAAGGATATAGCTTATAGATTCTTTAGAACAAAAAAAAAGGAGAAAGTTGAGGTAGGCAGGTGTTCTCAGGTGCTAAGAACCCTTGATGTTTACATGAAGTCATGAAAATTAGTAGAGATCAGAGCAAAAAGCTCTGCAATGTCATTCATATAATCCAGGGAAGATAATAAGGACATTTAAATCTTCCGTCACAAAGTGGTGTTCTCAACTACCATTCAGTTACAATGCATCTTTTGTCTTAGACTTATAATCTCATACAGAAAGACATACATTCTTTGCAGTAGGACTAGTGAAAGTTTAATACCAGGGCTGACAATTTCATTGAATTTTTTTTTACTGCTTAAAAATTCTTTCATGCAATATTATCACAGTTCTAGTTTACATATGACAAACAAAAAATAAAAGCTTTTATATATTAAAAAAGTGCTGTAGACACACGAGTACAAAGAAAGATGGTAATAAGTTCTTGAAGAGGACTTTCATAACTGGCGAGGGGCCTACTTTATAGTTCCCCCTCTTTCCCTTCAAATCGATGCACAGTGGCTGTGGGAGAAATAGTTATGATCTACTCCAATGCAACAGGTGTGCCATCACGGTTTGTTGTTGTGGTGTCTTGTCTATTATTTTAGTGTGAATGAAAAATCATTTTAACTAAAATAATCCAGTGATGGACCAATATTCTTACCTTCTGATCTCAAAAATTATTCTCAATAATAAAATATAATAATTATTATGTTTAATAATTAAATATAATAATATATAATAAAAATAAAATAATAAAATATATTTATAATACAATAAATATAAAATATATTTTTTTTAAAATTCACCTAGAAATAGCACCAGCCAGCAGATTTATATCTCTGCATCAGATCTGTAAAGCAAATGTGATTGGCTGGTTTGTGCCAGCTAGATACATTGCTTTCTAATGCGGGGCAAATGTTTAAATTGCCCTTGTTACAGGAGCTGTGAAATAACAGGCTAGTGTAATTCAACCAATCACCTGAGTCTATTATTTTAAATGCTGTGGTGAATGGGTTTAACTGCTTCAATTATAAATGCTAACAAATTGTTCAATTAAATGGATTCTAAACTGTTAGCCACCAAGATTTTAATAAAATATCCAGAAACAGATAAAAAGAGAATGGGGAATTAAGATTAAAAAAATGAAATTAGCCCAACAGTAAAAATTAAAACAAACAAAGATTTTTTGGCAAGTGCTAATACCCCATTCACAAGTCAAATTGTTCAGTCAACACTCATATGTAGGTTTATTACCTGAATTAACAGGTTACACATATTTGGGCAATAACAAAAGATATACTGGGGTGGGATACTTGCAGAAAATAGGATCTAGACAGTTAAGGTAACTAGAGTATTTCAGAGTTGTCCTCAGGACAATACTGATTCGGAGGGATACAGAGAGGATTTTATTAAAGGACACGGAGGCTCATATTATGCTTATCTCTTTCTTTATTATACCTCAGCAGCAAAGAGAAGGTATAAACATTCATAGAAAAAAAGTTTTAACAGGTTCTCCAAGGGTTAACCCAACATCATACCCTTAACCAATAGGAACAGTCCCTCTATCTATAACTATTCATGTGACCTTTCCTCTTCCTCTTTCTTTGCTGCTGCCTCAGCTAAGTACCATCTAATTTTAGCTCTCCTCAGAGCACCCTTTTGAATTAGTATTGTATTGTTTTGTTTCTGTGTCTTTATTATTTTATGTCTTAGGTTTTGTGTGGGTTACTTAGCCGGTTCTTAGAGCCGGCGCCTGTCTGCCTTAGGGCAGATAGACGTTTTCACTGGGGTTCCCTCCCCCCCCCCTGCGGCGGTTACCCCCTCCCACACCTTACCGGGTAGTTTATTACCCGTTCTTTGTTGTCCTCTGAGAGCGGCCATTTACAGTAACCCGGCCGGGCTTTGCCGCGCTTTTTTCCGCGCCCGCCCTGTACCAGAGGGCGGGCGTTCTCTGATTGGCCAGCTGCATTGGCTGGCAGCTTACCAGTGCTCCCTGGCGGCCATTCCGGAGGGAACACTTGGTAAGCTGACAGCCTTTGTTTGTGCCTGCATCCTCCCACCTGCACTGTTCTCAGAGCTCACTGCCCACAGTTGGTTTACTGTTAGCCCCTGCACAGGGTCACTAGGGACATTTTTTTCTCTCACACATTGGGCCAGTCTGGTACAAATTTCTTTGTGTCACTTGGTATCCCAGCCATTTAGGTGTCACTGCTCCCACACCCCAGGTGCCTTTTGCTACAACCTACCTGTCATGCAACACCTTAGGGACCACGGGGTTGCCTCCCCCACTGATACCAGTAAGGACACCATTCATCACGTGCCACAGATACCACGTCCATGCTCACCACTGCGGGAAGACGTGGCATCCATGGATCAGTTAAACTCGGAGGAGTTTCACTCACTCCTGGATGCAACCATGACCAAGTCGGTCACCCAAGCTATAGTCACAGCTATGGGGGCGATGTCTGAGACCCTGACACAATCCATTAGTAATGCCATACTGGCGTCTAGCAGCCATCCCAGTGGCCCCCGCCCCATGGCCCAGCCTGACAAACCTGTGTCCCTCAGCGGCCGTAAGGCTACGCAGAAGACCCACCATATGGGCAAACACACCTCCAAAAACAGCACGACGGACAGGATACGCCCTGTCACTAATGAGGACGTGGGGCCCCCACGCAAAAGAGCCATCCACCGGGCAAAAGCGGTGAGGACGTGGAAATGGGCAAAAGCCCAGACAGAGACATCCGACTCTGGTTCGGACATAGAGGAGGTAATGAGTGAGTCCGAGGAACTCGGCTCGTTGGAATCAGGGAACTCTTCCCCTGAGCGCAGCCTGGCAGTCATACCAACTAAGGGAAAAGCGCCCACGGATGATTCCATCATCCTAGACCCCCAGGGCGAGCCCCTATTCAACCCTGACGACCTGCAGCACCCCAGGTCCACAGACTGGTTCCCAGCTGACCATGTGGCCCAGTATATTGCAGCCAGAATAAGGAAGCCCCTGGATAAGACAACCAGGAATAAGTTAAGGGCAGAGTGCCCACGCCCGACGGTCCCTGATATGGCATGCGCCATGCCAGAGGTGGACCCCAAGATTGCCCAGTTTCTGGGTAAGGCTGGCTGGAAAGCCAAAAAAGGGCTAGACTACTCCCTGTGCCACTGCCAGGATAAGGTGCTCGACTCCTTGGGCCCTAGCGCAAAGATCTTCGACTTGGTCGAAGAGACAATCTCAGGTGGCGCACCACTAGACCCCTTAGTGATCCGAGAGTGGGCACAACACTCTATCTGCCTCATCGGCAACTCAAATGCCGCAATTAGTTCTGAGAGGCAGAAGGCAATTCTCATGAAAATAGACCCCAAGCTGGTCAACATGGCCATAACCGAGCCTGGACCCCAGGCAAAAGGCCTCCTTTTCGGAGACAATTTTGTAAAGGAGCTGGGCACCTACGTGAGCACATTTACAGCCCTGGATAAGGCACAAACAAACCTAAAACGGGTGTTCTCCCCGAAGGTTTTTGGAGGGGCTGGCAGGTACAGGGGCCGCCTGTCCAGCCGCCCATCACGGAGCTCCCACCGGGGCTACCGGGGCCCCACGACACCAAGAGTCCCACAGGCGGAGACCAGAACCCCCGCACCTTTCTTCCCGGTCAGGGGCAGATCATGGCAGCCCAGAGATCACAGGGGTGCCACATACGGCCGACGACCTTATGGTAAGTGCGTTTCCCTTTCCCCTCTCTCATACCTCACACGTAGGGGGCAGACTTTTCAAATTTATCGGGGCATGGCACAGACTCACGTCCGATTCCTGGATTCTCGACACAGTAGCGGGGTACCATATAGAATTCGTCACACACCCAATCCAATCCACAATGCCACGGCAGATGGTGTTCGACCCTCAGGACAGGGAACTGGTGTCGAAAGAAATCATAGCACTGGCGGAGAAAGGTGCGATCTATCAGGTCGCGCCCCACTCCCC